GATGAGATACCTGCGGGTGGGGCAGGGGCCCTGGGTGTCAATGCCGCCCCCACACAAGGCAGCCAGCGTGGGGGCCGGATGCCCAGTGTGGAGGTGCCCAACGGCTCCGGGGCTGGCACTTACACAATGTCGTTGGGCTCCAGCCTCGTGTCGGGCGGGGGGTTGATGAGGACGTAGGAGAGGGTGTTCTGCTGGTCGTTCATCTCGTCTGCAGAGGAGACAGGGCCCCAGCAGCGGTCACCCCTCTGCCCAGAGAAGCCAGGGCTCTGCCAGCCACAGAACCTTCCCAGCCTTTCTGGCCATCCTGCCCGAGCCCTCACCTGGCAACCCAGCCAGGACTGGTCCCCCCAGGGGCACCGAGCCCCAGACCACACAGGGGTCCCCCCAGGAGCACCGGCCCCGGCCCCCAGCCCGCACAGGGGTGCCCCCAGGGGCAGTGGCACTGGCTCCTGCCCACACCCAGGCAGCTTCTCAGCCAGAGCAGCCAGCATCTCATAGATGGGGCAGCCCCGACAGAGGCATCGAGCACCTGCACACACCTGGACACCGGCACACAACCACACACACCACACGCCTCTGGACACCTGCACACACTCCTGACCCAGCCTTGGGCTTCTCCCGCCCCCAGGGCCCTGCTCTCCCTCCTGCTCTGAGCTCCTGTCCTGTTGTCCAACACCAGCTCCCACGACCCCCTTGGCACATGCAAGGCCTGTGGGGGGACAGCCGGCACCCCACTCCCTGGGTGGCTGTGGGATGCGGCCCGCAGGGGTGAGGACGGGTTCCGGAGAAACAGTGTCACCTCACAGCAGTCTCCTGGCCAAACATGGGGACGGCCCCGTCCAGGCAGAGGCCCGAGCACCCTGCACGGCTTGTGGCCTGTGTTTGCCCGCCTGGGGGTGTCTGAGGCACCTCCTGCCCCAGAGCAGCCGTCGGGACACAGGGACGGCCTCCCAGGGGTCCCGCCCCGATGGCCTTGCCCCCGTGCCCCCGGGAGGAGTGTAAGGCCGGACCACTGACGAGGGGACGGGCTGCCGGTTTGAACTGGAGCCTGCAGAGCGAATTGGCCCCACAGCATCCGAGCCCTAGCGCGGGTCCAGCTCAGCCGCTCCCGGAGGGCAGGCGGGCACAGGGAGGCCTCCGGCTGACACACATGCGGGGCCCTTGGGCGGAACCAGGTGCCGGCCTCCAGCCCTTTGCCCAACAGCCACGCTGTCTCTTCCCGAAAAGCTTGGCCTGAGCCTGGGGGCAGGAGCTGCCAGGTGCCGAGTGGGCAGCTGCGCTGGAGGCTGTGCAAGGAGGCCCCTCCCGGCCCGAGCGCCCCCCATGCATTTCCGGGGTGAGCAGCAGAGACGGGGGCCTGGACCCTGCAGTAACCGGGGCCCAGGCAGGGGAAGGATGGAGGCGGCTCTTAGGGGCCTGACCACGGACCACAGCCCTCAGCAGGCCGGCCACGCGGGCACACACACCAGTGGGGACAATGGGAATGGAGAGACTGGCCCACTGGGGCCCTCGTGGGCTGGTGTCCGCTAAAAGCTGGACGCACTCCTGCCAGCCTCCGGGCCACACCCTGGGCCCTGCTTCTCCCGGTGAATGGGCCACAGCGTCCTGAATCTAGAAGACTGGACCAAGCCAGGCTGGCGGTGCTTGTGGGGGTGTGGGCTGCGGGGTGGGGGCAGCCGCAACACAGGGTGGGGTGTGGTCAGTCACAGAGCAAAACTGTGATTCCCCCAGGACCAGCGGCTTTACCACCGACGTGGGGCTGGGGGTGGGGGAGCGGGGCTGGTGACACCTCGCCTGGCAAGTGACCAAAGGAGGTACCACCTCCCCCTGCACCCCCTCCTCCCCCTGCACCCCCTGCATTCCAGCTTCCACGGGGATCTGGCCCTGGGTGTCCCCACTCTCTCCTCTCACACCTCCCCAATTTCCTCCTCTACTAATTGGGGGTAACCGGGGCCTCCCTCCGAGTGGCTGGCAGGAAGGGGTCGGGTTGGGGGTGCAGGACGGAGGGGCCCTAGGACGACACCCTCTGGGGGAACCTCCCTGCAGCCTTAGCTAAGAGGGTCACCTCCCCGCCAAGGTCATGCCTCCCCTCTGGTTTTACATTCTGGCCCAAGCACCCCTCAGGCCCACACATGTGGGGGGCTCGGGAAACACCACCTGGTGACCCCCAGTGACCCTGCAGGGCAGCCACCTCTGGGA